GACAGAGAACTGCCAGAGGTTCAAGCTGGATTCAGACAAGGATGTGGAAGAGAATATAAAAAAGATGTTTACCTGTGCTTTATTGACTATGCAAAGCTTTCAACTATGTAGATCATGACAAGCTGTGGATAGCATTGCAAAGAATGGGTATTCCTTAACACTTAACTGTGCTTATGAGGAACCTGGTACATAGACCAAAAGGCAGTCATCATAAACATAACAAAGTGAAAGTGAATGGTGTAAAATCAAGAAAGGTGTGCTTCAGGGTTGTATTCTTTCACCATACTTGTTCAATTTGTATGAGGAGCAAACAATCTAAAAGGCTGGATTATATGAAGGAGAATGTGATTTCTTTTGCTTGATCCTCTATCAATATTCATGGGAACAGCAGTCAAAAGATCAAACGATGTATTGCAGAAGACCTCTTTCAAGTGTTCAAGAGCGATGATGTCAGTTTGAGGACTAAAGTGTGCCTGACATAAGCCATGGTATTTTCAAGAGCTTCAGATGCATATGAAAGTTGGACAATGAATAAGAAATACTGTAGAAGAATTAAAGCATTTGAGTTATGGTGCTGGAGAATATTGAGCGTACCATGGACTGCCAGAACAAACAAATATCTTGAAAGAAGTACAGCAGAATGTATCTCAGAAGCCAGAATGCTTCAGACTTGTCTCTAATACTTTGGAAATGTTATCAAGAGGGATCAGTTCCTGGAGAGGGACATGATGCTGGGTAGAGCAGAGGGTCAGCGGAAATGAGGGAAGAACCCCCAACAAGATGGATTGGCACAGTAGCAGCAAACATGGATGGGTTCATGTGCAACCATTGTGAGGATAATGCAGGACTAGGCAGTTTCGTTCTGTTGTACATAGTAGGGTCGTTATAAATCAGAACCAATTTGCGGGCACTTAACAACATAGTACTTTTGATAGTAACATTGGAAACTAGAAGACAGTTCAGTAACATCAAAATTCTGAATGAAATCTACTTCTATACCAGCAATCTCTACACAAGCAAGCTAAAGGCATTTTCAGAACATAAAGGCCTCCCCAATTTACCTTTCATGCACTTTCTCAGGAAATAATTGGATGATGTGAGTTAAGCCAATGGATTCCTTGGTAAAGGGAATACTCAGGGTGGCAACAAAGAGGAATCGCAGAGCAAGTTATACAGAAGTTCTAGAGAGTAGTCATAGACTGGGCTTCTAGCGAGGGTTCCATCAGAAGAATGTGTATGGGTGGGGGCGGAATGGACAGTGTTTGAATTGCATCTCCCAAAAAGAAATGTGGAAGTCCAACTCTTGTACCTGTAACCAGAATGCTGTTTGGGAGATTTTATTTTGTGTCAATAAGGCTATTTCAGTGTCAACCGCAAGCTTGGTGGTTCAAACTCCCAAGTTGCTCCCTGGAAATATCATACAAGGTCGTTATGAATCAGGACTTGACAACACACAACAAAACCTAATCACATCTGAGCAGTGTCTTATCTAAAGAATAGGACAGTAGAATAAACACACAGGGGGAGATTCATGTGAAGATGGATGCAGATGCATCTATTACATTTACAAGGGGGCTTCAAAAAGTTCAAGAAAATAATTCATTATAATCCCATTTTTTCTGTGAACTTTTTGATGCCCTCTTATACAAGCCCAGGAACTTGAAGGATTTCTGGCAGCTACTAGAAGCTGAGTCCTGGTGTGGTGCTGTGGGTTAATGTGCCAGACTGCAAAGCCATTTGAACTGCAAGGTTAGTGGTTCAAGCTCACCAGTCACTCCTCCGAAACCCTATATGGGGTCGCTATGGGTCAGAACTGACTAGATAGCACTTAACAACTAGAAGGTGAAAGAGACAAGGATGATACATCTTGATGGTCATCTAGGATGATACCCCAATTTGGACTTCCAGCCACCAAAACTATGCAAAGACAAATTTGTCCTTTAATAGCCATCAGTATTGTGGTATTTTGTTACAGCAATAGATAATAAAGATACGGCAGATTTTCTAATAATTTTGACTATATATTAAGAGGCATTTTACAAATTCTTGAGACCACACTTGCCTCTTTTCCTTTGACTTTCCAGTTATATTCCAAGCCAAGGGATCTTTATATGTGCCTTCTTTGCTGAAATGCTCATTCCCCACACCCTATCAAATCCCGTCATGGAGTCGATTCCCACTCATTTGTTGTTGTTAGGTGCCATCGAGTCCGTACCAACTCAGAGTGACCGTATGCACAACATAATGAAACACTGCCTGGTCCTGGACCAACCTCACAATCATGGCTACATTTGAGTTCATTGTTGCTGCCGCTGAGCTCCTTGGGAGTCTTCCTCTTTTTCTCCAACTCTATTTTACCACAGGGTTTCCAAATGTAAATCTTTATGAGAGCAGCCAGCCTTATCATTCTGCAGAAGAGTAGCTGGTGGATTTGAACTGCCAACTTTTCAGTTAGCAGACCAGTGCTTATCTTACAGCACTATCCGGGTTCCTAATTGCCCCCATCATTCTATTCTCCTTCAACTGTAGATTTTCCCTCCAATACTGCCATGTCACTGAGGATTTCTGGGCCTTCTCAAATTGGCCCACCCTTTTGTCTCACACACCTTCCTCCCCAGATCCGACTTTCCCCCTTAGTACTCATCTATATACACTACCATGTATTTTATTTATTGCCAAAAACATGAGGGTAAGTAAAACAGTATTGCTGCAAAATTATAGAAATCTTTATTGAACAAAAATATCAAAATGTGAAGCTATGCATCTTGACATCCTCCATCTAGGTCGTTACACACCTCTGAAGACAGTGTTTCTTTCTCTAACCCTTACCCCAAGTCCTGGTGTGGTGCTGTGGGTTAAAGCACTAGACTGAGACATCAGTTTGAACCACAAGCTCGGTAGCTCAAGCTCACCATTCGCTCCTCAGAAACCATATACAAGGTTACTATGGGTTGGAAACCTACTCAATAGCACTTAACAATAACAGCAAACCATTCCCTCAAAGATTCTACACTCTAATACATACCATGCCAAAATGGCAGTTTGGGCATTCTTGGGGGACTCAAATTATATTCCTTTTTAATGATTTTTGAATTTGGGGAACAAAAAGAAGTTTGAAGGGATAATATCAGGGCTGTACGGTGAATAAAGTAAAATTTTCTTTAGGACAGCCCTTGCTACTTTCAAAAAAAAAGCAGATACACTGTGATGGAAATATAATTCCTCAGGGAAACGTCTCTGGTTATTTTTCTCAGCAATGCAGTTTTCAATTGCTTTCAAGCTTAGTTAAGTCCTCATGACTGTCTCATTTCCTTTCTTAAGAAAATCTATCAAGATTACACGTTTGGAATCCTTTAACACTTACAATAACCTTCTGAGCCTTGCATTTAATGGGCCCAGCAGATCCCCTGTAAAGCCACCATTTCTATTGGGTCTTTTTTTCAAAGACTAAGGAGCCCTTGTGAAGCTTTAAGATTAGAACTGGACTGCTAACCACAAGGCTGGCAGTTCAAACCCACTAGCCACTCCACAGGAGAAAACTGACTCTGTCTTCTGTATGGATTTACAGCCTGGAAGCCCTATGCAGGGTGGCTATGACTTGACACCACCTCAATGGCAGTGGGTTTGGCTGTTTTGGTTTTAAGGAAACTAAGACAAAGTGCATTACTTAGCTAACTTGTCTCTACTGAAGCCATGCGCTGATCTCAGAGACATGCTGCTTGGAGTAAGCCAGGCATGTATGAACTAGAGAACCCTGGAAGCAACACTTTGTGACTTACCCTCATATTTTTGGAATGGTAAATGAAATTTGGTTTTTGTTAAGTGCCATCAAGTCAGTTCTGAATCATAGAGACCATGTATAGGGTTTCTGAGGAGCAGTATGTGGATCTGATATGCCGACCTTGTGGCCTACAGTCCAGTGTTGACACTACAGTGCCAAACCAGGAGTCTGATACAAGAAATAGTTAAAGATTAAAACAAAAATAACAAAACCCAATTAAGTAAAAGCAAAAGCAAGGCAACTGTTTAGGAAAAGGCTGCAAAGTAAATGAAAATAGGCATCATATATTATTTAGCTCAGCAGTGAAAATTTATGTAATTAAAATAATGAAAACACCATATAGATCAAATCAAAAATTATGCTTTAAGTAATAGGAGGGTAACAAGTATATGGAAGTGTTAGACAGTGATATGATCTACCTACTACATCATACAGAATCAATAGGCAATTCTGAGACTCTAGAAATGACAATATACAATTTTAAATATAAAAGGAAAACTGGGAGAAACAGCTTAAAGAGTTGTAAGTAAATTACAGATAGAGCAAGGGGTTACTGCTTTTTTTTAAAAAAGCACTTTTGTATTTTGAACCATATATACATATCATTTGATAAAAATAAAGGCATTTCCTGAGAGGGGAAAAAGAATGTTTCCAAAGGTCTAGCAAAGCTCAATTCTTCATAACTAGTATCACAGTGATTGGCACATAGCAGATACTCAATAATTACCTGTTGGAAAGATGGATTTTGACAGCGTATATACACAAGGAATATGGCTACTAGAGTTCACATTAAACCACACAGAAAAATGGTATGTTCTTTGGCAACAGAAAAAATGATTTTACAGACTTAAAAAAAAATAAATCGTTGAGTAATGTGAAAATACAGAATCATTTACATGAAGGCCAATAAATAGTAATAAAATTTAAAATGTGTAAAGCAAAACTTTCTTGAAGTTTTAGTAAGAAATATGTATGATATTTATCAGACAACTAAGCTGTAGACCTTTATACCTATAGTCCTTAAATTCAGAATCTGAACAGTATCAGGTAGCCATATACTGCCACCTTGTGGCTACATCTGTAGGTACAGCCTGGCTGTGGCAAATCGAAAATCTACATTTCAGCCAGTGAATCTAGATCCATCTTTTCATTCTTCTTTCCTTCTAAATTCGGTAACCAAATCCTCAACAGGACTATAAATACAAAGAAAAACAGGCAATAAAGATAAAGTGTTTTATTAATAATTTATTGTCAGTAAGAAAGACTGGCTAATGGTAGATTTCAGTAAAAACCTTTACAAGACCATTGCATCACAAATATACAGACACTATAAAAACTGTGTCAGGGTGGTTTTGGTTCTAAACAGGTATGCAGAAGGTCCCCATTACACTTTCCAATAATGAAAAATGTTTATAATTCTAAAATACAGTAATCCGTTTAAGACATGTCCATGGATCAACTCTTTCCCATCATATGTACATCTAGAAATGAAAGACTAGATTGAAATGCAATTATGAAATGTCCGACACCTCAGTGGGAAAGAACATGTAACGAAACCCTGGTTATATTTTTTTTAAAAATCAGGGTGTAGGTAATGTCACTAACACCACCAGAATTCAGTCAGAACAAAACCACATAATACTTGATGATCTAGTTAAAACTATGAGAAATCAAATCTGTACATAAAATTTACAAACAGGAAAACGAAATCATCAAATCTACATAAATACATGAGTCATGCTAACAAGATGGAAGGACTGATTTTCGTGGTCTTATTTGAACAGACAAATGTGAATTTAAAAAAAAAAGGATAAAGGACGTTCAGAAATGGCACAGCCAATGTAAATCTCTCCCAATTACAGTAGGTTAGGACACTGGAAATGGCTAACGTGTCAAGAGGCGCAAGGTTCAGTGCAGCCATGCCCATTTTAGGTCACCAGAAAAACAAAAACTGTCTAAGCACTGCTGCAAAGAACAATGCAGATTATTATTTAAATAATCTCTAGGTTCATCAAAGTCCAGGCACTTTGGGGGGAGTGTGAGCGTCAGACTTCAGTATGCTGCTGCGGATCGAGTGGAGGAATTGTCACCTCTTCAAAGTGGCCGTCGTCCCCACTCTCATAGTCACTCACCATGACCTCAGACTCCACTTCACAGCACGCTGACACATCAGAGCAGGAAGCTGTGGACGCGTACACAGACATGGGCATGTTTTCTACAGTGGGGGCTTCAAAGTTTCTTTGATACCCTGGACTGTAAAGGGCGTAAGGGTCTCTACAAGTACTATTCTCACCAGTGCCTGTTTTCTGAGGTTCAGACATGTCAGCGGGATAGAAATTGGGCAGATACTGATTCAAATTGAACCTCTGCCGGTTCCTCGTTGAAGAACCTAAACTACCTGCGGCAGGCATGTCTCTAGGAGGGTGTATGGATTCAAAGTGATGGCTGAAATCGGGAGGTAATGGTGGTAGCTCATCTGGTGCAGGGAAGTCTTCTGGTGGTGGTGGAAAGTCACTTTCTATGTCGTAGCCTCCAGGGTAATAGTCTGTATCAATGGCATTTGGGTCTGCTGAGTACAGGTGTGTTTGTTCACTGATAATTTCACAGTTGGGAAACTCTTGTATGTCTGGCAGAGGATCACTTGGCATCCAGTCCGATGTATCCCAGTGATACCCTGGGTGAAAAAGAAGACAACAGATCTCAGTGTGTTTTCTTTCAAGCATATGTAGAGTAAAGTGTACCAAAACTAGAGGTGTGCCTGCATTCACACATTACAGGTTAATCACTTTGGAAACCCTATGTCTTCACTCTGAATTTTGAGGACCTCTATGAACTAGGCACTATTTCTAAAATACTGACTTGCAGTTTATGCATGTACCAAACATCCATAGAAACAAAATCAATTTTAATAGAGGCAATGTGCTTACATCTACATTATGCCTGTTTTTCTACAAATGACTCTCCAATCGTCCTTTGAACATTCCACCCATGATTTCTATGAAGTCTTAGAACATTAGTAGTTTTATTCTTTCATAAAGAAGTCACTATTTATTAAAGTATCCAATGTGACTTAAGCTGCGCGAGAAACTGTCTAATCAGTGACTTTTTTCAAAATTATAATCTTTAATACACTAAAATCTAGACTAAAATTGCCTTCATAAAAATGTATTTCATTTAATATTAAACATCATACTTTTTTTACTAGTGCTAAGTAAATTAATGAATTGTTTGAATATAGGTATGTATCAAAAGCATGCCTTCAAATAAAGCAAAATACAGTTAAGCAAGCACTGAAAAATATGAGATATTTTTGAAAGACGACAACAACAATCAAGCTTTGTTACTTTTTAAACAAAAGGATCATTTAAACTATATCATAGGATTGTTATTTAAAAAAAAAAAAAAAGAAAATCCCCAATTTGGAGGTTTTTTGCTTTTTTTTTTTTAATTTAGGATTTTTCAAATCCTTTGAAAGAGGGGGAGAGGTTATCAGGCACTCCGTGTCTAGAATACAGCACATAAACTCTGATGCACTTAGTTACTGCTGCATATACTGAGCAAACATGAAGCAAGTCAGCGTTAAGGTCAACTCTTCACCAGTGTTGGTGTGGTTTGGTTTTTTAGTGAGTATCAATGAACAACTGGCATGCATAAGTCACCTCGTGGTTTGCTGAGGTCAGGAGCAGCCAAAGATTCTTTAGGTGGCCAAGTAGAAAGAAAAAAAAACACATTTATAATTAAAACAGATAAACAGATTAAAAGGCAATAAAGTTAATCGTATGCAACAATGTAAACTATTTATAAAGGTCCAGTCAACCATACATCAGACCTTCAGACCAATATCTACGAACCTTCCAAATGGCTTGGAAATTTATACAGTACAAATAAAATGGGACACGACGGTGGAGTAAAAAGATGATGAAGATGAACTACACATTTTGCAGGGAACACAAATACGATTATGCTTTCTGTTCTTTGTTTCTGGAAATTCTAAAAGTACAGATTTTTGATAGGATACTTAAAATTGACAGGCTCTAATAAAATGTAAACCGAGAAAGAATTTCAGTTACGCATTCACTGTATTGAGAAATATCATAAAATCATTTTTGCGAGGCCTCTGCAGGATCAGTTTATTTAGATGACAATCCAAATATATCTAAAGCTACATGATATGCACATACTTTAAAACATATTATACCCTTTAAATGTATATTAAAAACTCAGAGAAATTCATGAATGAAGCATTAGCTACTTAAAGGTAAGTAAAAGTAGACAATCTAAACCTTGTCTATTTTTAATGTAATCTCTTATATTTATATTTTTAACCTGGCTCTGGAGAGCACATTAGCTACACATAACTTATTTTTCCTTCAAATCTGCAATTGTTGTTGTTTAGTAGTGACATCAAGTCGGTTCTCACTCGTAGCCACCTGTATAGAGTCTCCAAGAAGTGGCTAGTGGGTTTGAACCTTGTGGTTCAAATTGATCTTGCAGTCGGAGCGCTTATCCTACAGCGCCACAAGATGACTCCAAATCTGCGATTATGCTTGCTCGTTCAGGACCTGTGGTTTATACACAGATTTCTACACAGGAAAGCCAGAGAAAGTGGATGTAAATCCCAACTTTGCCATCAAGGACTACGTGATCCTGAGAGCCTACTATCTGGCTACTCTTCAGGTTCCCCTATCTTTGAAATGGGGATGGAATTCCCCTTAGAGATTTTATGACATGGCTCTGTAGGATCAGCCCTGGACTGCAAACCACGTCAACAGTTCATACCCACCAGCTGCTCCTCAGAAACCCAATACAGGGTCGTTGTGAGTCAGAACCAGCTGGAAGGCACTTAACGACAATAAACAAGGTAACATAACTGCTAGCTGCCATCAACAATTCTTATCATAGAAGTATGATCACTTAAGTGACTTTTCAAACAAACCGATGCTTTATATACATTCTATATGTAAAACCATCTTCTTGGAAACCCTACACATACAGTAGTTTAGAACAAATTAAGATTTGATGGCTGATTTTCTTCTAGGAATTTAAACTAAAAAATGAAAAGACCATGTTTACCCTGAAAAATGAATAGGCCAAAGACCATGTTTAACCCTGAAAAATGAATAGGCCAATGAAGCATTTATCCAACACTTAAAGTCTACTTAACATCTGAGGAGAAAGATGAGGCTTTCTGCCCCTGTAAAGATTTTCAGCCTCAGAAACCCCAAACAGAGTTGCTATGAATCAGAAGAGACTCAGCTGTATACCACCAGCACTTAAAAAGAACAACAAAAAACCACACAATCAGAAATAACTTTCCAAAAAGAAAAACAGAGAGTTGTTAACCACTGTCTTCCTGGTGTGGGCTGTATGATGAGCTAGACTGCAAAGTAGTTTTGAACTGCAAGGTCAGGGGTTCAAATTCACCAGTCTTTGCTACTAAATGTTATTTTTGTTACTAAATGTTGTTATTAAGGGCTGTTGAGTCAATTCGACTCATAGTGACCCTGTATAGATAGTGTTTCCAAGGATAGGTTAGTGGGTTTGAATCGCCAATGGTGTGGTTAGCAATCGGTGCTTATCCTACTGCACCACAACGAAAGTCCTTCTACTAAATAGGTACTCAATGATCCTTAAAATTTCAGGTAATTTTCAATTTATACTTCTTAAATATGCTGAAACTTATTTAACTTTTACTTCTTTAAAGCCCATCAATATTCAAAATACTGGCGTAATATCACAATGTTAAAATTAAAAGTTACTAAACAAAATACAGATTACTTTCCTAACTATCAAAAAGATTTCTTCACAAAACAAATATATGGCTCATTAGTAATTGTCGTTGTTAAGAGCCATCAAGTTAGTGCCAACTCATAGTGACCCGGGATAGGGTTTCCAAGGAGCGGCTGGAGAGTTTAAACTCCCAACCTTACAGTTCAAACCAACTTTGTGGACCAGTTCTTATCCTACAGTGCCATACAAGGGCTCCCATTAGTAATCAGTAACAGTAAAAAAAAGTTTCGAAGTGTCAGCCCTGGACCAGCAAAATCAGACTCTACTGAGAACTTGTTAGAGATGCAAATTCTCAGGCCCCAAACCACAACTACGGAATCAGAAATGGTGCTGGGGCCCAGCAACCAGCCTTCCACATGATCTGATTTACACTACAATTTGAAGATTAGCCTGTGTGTCATCTCACATGTGACTGCTCTGTGTCCAGTGCACTAATAAAGGATTCAACTTAAGTAAACTTGAGGGATGTGGTCCTTCTGATTTGGAACAGACAAAGCTACATATTAAACAATGTTTACTAAACCAAGTATTAACATATATCTTCTATCATATAAATAAAAAAGTCCGTTATCACTAGTTATATAGAAAGCATGTATTCTATTCAGTCTCATTCTCATTCACATAAAAATTATTTTTTTCTATTAGAAAAGTGCTTTAATTAGAATCACTTCTAAACTTCTTCATAGTATACCATGTAAAGATAATCCTCATGATCAGAGTTAACACTAATGTCTGTGCAAATGCACTATGAATCGCAAAAGGCAACAAAAAATTACATACAAAGAAATATTTTTGAATGTATCTCTATTATGAATAAATGTACCTGTATAAGATAAAAGGACACAAACACCTCAAACCCACAAACTATTTGCATGACAATTAACAGGCAAAAGCACACTGCACTAGTGACACAATCACTATCGACAAACACCAAGCACAAGCACTTATGACTATACCTTCTTTATTCACCGTGTCAACTACAGTGTTGACAAGGTGTATTACAGTCACTACGGAAGCTTGTAAAAAGCACAAAAGGAGCAAATTAGAAAATCTTCAGTTAGTTAGAAAACGGCGCATTAAACAGAATGTCTTCATGTTACACAATTTCTACCTCATGATTTAAAGATGTGAAGTGAATACTTCAACTACGTAACACATTTAGCTCTGCTGTTCAGATTTTGCTAACTAAGCAATGTATTTGTTGTTATTAATTAAAGCAATAAAGTAAGTTTATACTTTACTAGAATCTAGGGGGAAAAAAAATAGAAATTTTCTCCAAATTACAATATGAATTGAGTTCAAAACCAAACCAGACCCACTGCCATAAAGGCAATTCGGACTCACAGAAACCTAAACAGGTTGCAAATCTCTATGAGAGCAGATAGCCTCATCTTTCTCCAGCAGAGTGGCTAGTGGATCTGAACAGTCAACCTTGGGATTAGCAGTTCAGTGCTTATCTACAGCGCCACCAGGGATCCTTACAGAATAGTCATGACATACAATTCCTATTTTAACATCTCAAGGGGGAAAGATTTCCTATTCAAAGAGTAAAATTCTCTTGGTATGCCACTTTTCTGACCATTTAATTAGCTTGAACATTATCCCCTGAAAATAAAGATTTAAAGCTACGTAAGGCAAAATGTGCGCTACATATAAGCACTACAAAGACGGTTTTCCCTTTGTTCTACTTGCACCATGCCACATTCTGCCTTTCTGCAGGTGGACTAACAGCTGGTGAGTTAATACACCAGTGGAGAAGTGCAGACCTTCTGCCTAGCTGTGCTGTGTGTGAGTTCCCTTTCTCTTTGTAGATCAGATGACTTTAAAAGTATCTATGTGCCAAGAAAAATATGTTTCTCTATGGTAGACGGAAGAATGGCTCCCAAAGATGTCCAAGTCATAAATACCGGTAATGATACCTGACCTGGCAAAGGAGAGTTTGCTGATATGCGTTAGGTTACAGATCTTGAGATGGGAAATGATCTTAAATTATATCAAGTGGGCCCAATCTAATTACACGAGATCTTAAAAGGAGAAATAGTCAGTGGGAGAGGAGACTACAGAAGTGGATCACAGAGCAAACACTGTCTTTGAAAGATGGAGGGAGGGACCATGAGTCAAGGAAATTGGGAAGTTTCCAGAAGCTGAAAAAGGGAAGCTAACAAATTCTCCATCAGAGCTTCCAAAAAAAAAAAAACACAACCATGCTGACACCTTGGTTTTTATCCAGTGAGACTTAGTTTAGACTTTTAACCTACAGAACTGTAAGAAAATAAATTTATGAGGTCTTAAGACACTAAGTTCTTAGCAATTTTTCAGAACAGCCTAAGAAAACCAATATAATGTAAGTATAGACTTATAAAACAGACTTTAAATTTAATGATAATGATCAAAATTCTGAAAATAACTATAACCTATGCCTAGAAACATGGTTTTGGCTTTTGTTGCCCCCCTCAGATTATATTATCTGGGAATTATGTTCCATAACTTGATCATAACTTATATAAAGTGTTTGGGGATACTGAAATGATATTTCAATGAAATGAACTAAAAAAAAAAAAAAAGGTAATACTGATAAAAAGCAGAAATATATTTATAAAGGGCATCAGAGGCCATGTTACAAGTTATTAAGTAAACTAGTAAATAATTATTTTGTTGCTATTTTCTTGTTGTTAGCTTATAAGCAAAGCTATTAGTCAACTACATTCTGAATACACACAAGTTGGATTCACACATGACATGCTTGAAATGAGAATACATGAAATATACTTCTGGCTATTTTTGTTCAGAAATGGGACTCTGCTATGGATCATAGTACTATGACTTAGAAACAAGTATGTGAGCAGATGATTTCTTCCCACCAATAAAGAATGTCCAAAATGTTTAAACATATTACATTTCAGTGTCAAAAAAGGGGGAAAGAAAGCAAAGCTTATTAACTCTAAGATTTAAAAGTTTTCACTTAAAACTTCATTGTTTTGAGTCATCTTTAAATCTTAAACAAAAAATATCTCCTGAACTCTTCTTAAAACTGAACAATAGTTTCATTAGTAAAAAAGGAGGTCTGCTGAGCATTATGCTCTTTTGAGAGCTATATCTATAAGGTCAAATGTTTTTGTTGTTGTTAAGTGCCGTCGAGTCAATTCCAGCCCATAGCGACCCTGTAATAAGGTTTCCAAGGAGTGACTAGTGAGCTTGAACCACCGACCTTGTAGTTCAAAGGGCTTTGCAGTCTGGTGCATTAACCCATAGCGCCACACCAGGACTCCTATGAGGTCAAATGGACAACATCAATTTGAAAGATTAGATAAAAACCTGAGGGGGCAGTGAGTTTATGACAATCAGGCAGAAACAACAGAGAAAAGGAGAGAAAGAATGGTTGCATAACTCTAAGAATGTAAATAATGTCACTGAAGCGTCCACGTAGAAATGATTGAATTGGAGTTATATTTTTCTGTGTATATTCTCAACAACAACAAAATACAGAGAATCTAAAGCAGGGGAGGGAACTCCACCATGCTTATTGTGTTACTAAATATTGGCCAATTTCCTCTAATGGCCAATGCAATCATCAATGCAATTTAACTTTAGATCAATCAGATAAATATAACTTTCAACTTTGGTATCAAAGATTCCATTGTCAAACTTTCTTTATTAGAAATATAATCAAACTTACTAGCGATCTCTTACACTGTGCTTTCAGTCAGTATGCTCTGATCCATATGGGAGCTGAGGCCGCACGGGGGGTTGAGGGAGGAGACAAACAAGACCTTGTATGTAATACCAAAGGTGCTACTGAAGGTGAACATTTCAGATGATCACTGTCCTCTCAGCGATGTGTGTGGATGTGTGTAGAGGGTGCTCAACAAAGTATCAGGGCTCATTTCAACTCCCCCACCCCACCCCCTAACTTCTGTAACATTTACTGTTGTGACACACTAGGCAATACAAAACTAGTCAATGAGATAGAAATCACCCTTCAATAAGTTATATTTTCTTTCCTATTACTAAAAAAAAAAAATCGCTACAGGTCAAATATCTATATATTAGGAACAGCTTAAATCAGTTCCCTAACATATTCATGCAAGCAAATACAAAGGTATTTAAACATGGTCCAAGTAAGGCAATGAAAACTTTTTGAAACTTACTAAGAGCACCCGATGCATCTGTATCATTATATAATAATACACTGTGAACTGCTTTCTGCACAACTGACGAGCTAACCACAGCATTCCAATCATTCTGCCTACTCACCATTGTCATCGCACGATTCCGACTGGAAGGAACTGAGTGACTGCACTTCAGACAGGCTTTCCCGGGCACTGTATGGAAGAGACGGCTTTTCCTCCAGAGGCTTCTTAGAAAGACAGGGATCTAGATCCACCACTTTAGCTATGAGGAAGAGATTAAAAAAAACAAAACCCCAGTAAGCTCCAGGTAGACAAAGGGCTGTTTTAGTCACTGCTACATTCTGATACAGGGCAAGTGCTAACAAACAACTGCCTTAAAAGAAGGAAAAACCACCACCAACAAAATTCCTGCAAATATTCTTGGAATATCCACAGATTATAAATCATACTATGAATATCATTAGACAATATTTTGATATTAAAATTTTGTTTGAAAAATGGCATATATAGCTTCTCATATAAAGCACTCGGTATACTTGAGATCACAATATAAAAGCTGCCATCTTTAGTTATATATCTGTATGTATATATATAAACCCAAGCATGCAAATATCCCAAAAGTTTTTAATAACTTGTCATAAAAAGTCTCAGTAAGTATAGCTCTGGGTCCATACCACCTACAAAAATGCAATGATCACCGCACTGCAGAATATTAATTGAAACATGACTAAATTTGATTCCTTATTAAAATAACATCATAACTAAAATGCTCAGTCCAAGTCTCTAGACACCTGAGAAAGTCTATCAAATCTCCCAAAGGTCTTAAGATTTTGAGCATATGAAAGGTTTCAAAAAGCTTGTGGAAAGACAGAATGTAAAAATAGTACAAAACCCCCTTGTATTTATCACTGTTGTTGTGGTCAAGTGCCGTCGAGTTGATTCCGACCCACAGTGACCCTGTATGGGGTGGTTTCTGAGGAGCAGCTGATGACCTTGAACCGCTGACCTTGCAGTTCAAACGGCTTTGTAGTCTGGCGCATTAACCCACAGCACCACATAAATGCAGGACTCCTGCATTTATCACTAACCACCAGTTAATTCCAACATATGGAAACCCCATGTGCATCAGACTAGAACTGTGCTCCACAAGGTTTGCAATGGCTGATTTTCTAGACATCCATCACCAGGAATTTCTTTTCATGGTACCTTTGGCTGGACACAAACAGCCAAACTTTTGGTTAGCAAGACAATCATGTTATAATTATAGTGACTCTACCTCCAACAAAGACTATATTTTGACTTGAACGAACATAGCTCTCAGAGAGCTATGTGATTTCAACTGTTTCTCTCAGTGACATTTTAGTTAGAGGAAGTCATTCATGCTTACTGTCATAGTCAAAGTCCCAGCTAGGCTTCTGTATGGAGTCACTGTCAGAAGGCGAGTTTGAAGGAGGCGGAGGAGGCAAGTTTGGAGCTACACTGCACACAGCCACGGCTTTCCGGTGTCCATGCACAGACTCAGGGTTAAAAGTGCTGAACTCAGGATGCTCTGGGATAGCAGATCCTTCGAAGGAATTCCGGTCAAGGTTGTTTCTAGAGTCGCTTGGAATGCTTGGAGTGTAGGAAATAGGCCGGACAGGCACCTGGGGTGGTATGTCTGAATAAATGTTCTTATTTAACTTTGAATCAAAATACGGTCTTTGTAAGAACGCAGTTGTGGGCCCCAAGTGTTTATCTTCAGGTTTGGGCTGGTGTTTCTTCTTTCGATTACTCATTTTGCGGCAAAGAACAAATACCAACACCAGTAAAAAGATCCCTATGATAAAAGCAAGGACTCCAATTCCTTCAGCCAGGCCGATGTTCCATGGGGTGGACACGTATTGATTGGGGGTAGCGTCCTCGCAGTGTTTGCCCCTAAATTCCTGGCTGCAGTTACAGTGATAGGAGCCGTGGGTATTCTCACACAGGGCCCCATTGTGGCAGGGGCTGCCCGCACACTCATCAACGTCACTCTGACACCTGCCAGGATGAAAGGCAACATATACTTAAAGGAGTAAAAAATCATTTTTCCTTAAAAATATATGACCAAAACCAAAATGAAATAACCTAAACTCCCACTATCACCAATAACTACAATGCAAAACCCTTCAGTGGTATACTCAACCACTTGATTATAGCTTTTTAACATATATTTGGGAGACCAGCATTAGATCGTGCCATTTTTATAGGATTCAAGAGACTACTAAATTAAACTGTTAGGCTAAAACATGTGTTTCTATGTTAGATATACAATCTACCATTCAATAATCCGGAATGTGCACACAGATAAACGGCATGCTGTAAACTGTTCTAATAGACTAGATTATGTTTCTTAATGTGTTTAAGTTTGAGAATATGACAGGTTCCATAAAACTTATGTGAAAGGAGAGAAAACAATAAATGTTTTCCATTTTAAAATGGGACTCCATCTGAAAACTTTCCACACCCTATCCTAACATGCACACACCCTTGGTCTTTCTGAACAAGGGCATATTTTGCACCTGTGCATACCTACCTGCCACTTCTTAAGTCCTTCCTCCTTTGAGCTAATGGTTCATTTACCAGGCGCCATACTCACCTAGCATAGAAATTTTGGATATCCACAGCATTTTGTCAAAATCCATTACACTGACAAAATGCTACCAATAATATATATTAACTGACTAGATTTAGGAAAGGAGTCCTGGTATGGTATTATAGGATAAAGTACTACTGTAAGGTCGGTCTGAACCACATGGTCAGTGGTTCAAACTTACCAGCTACTCCTTGGAAACCCTATACAGAGTTGCTATGAATCGGAACCGACTCAACAGCACTTAACAACAACAGAAGTTGCAAAGTATTTACTGAGTAGAATTAATGAGAAAATATTACGACTGATGTCAAATTTCAGGATTTATGAAGACTACTGCGCTGCAATACCATATACACATTTATACAAGCGGATTATATGGAAATCCTTCAAATAAGACTGACCCAAAGGTACAGACCTCAGTAATCTTTTTATTAAGTGAATTGGTAAAAAACCTAAGACAAAATAGGAACTGGCACAAAAATCTGACATGCACCTCTTTCAAAAACGGTAATGGGTATTGGCATGCCTTATTGTCGTCACCTGGGAAACAATAATGACTTCTCAGAATGACGGTAAGGATTATAAAAGATAACGAGAGTGGAGAGAGGTCTGCATATAAATGTAGTTGAAGCCTATTACAAAGAACATCATTACCATCACTCTCAAGGATATATAGGTATTTGCTTTAAAAGAGGTAATATTTCATTCCAGAAATATTTGCTGCCTGAAAGAACCCACACATTTTTTGTTTACAATTATTTCTAAAGGAAAGGAATAGGTTTTTCACTTTCTCAATATTTTAAAAAAAAGTGTAGCATGTAAACAAAAAACATACAAGGAGGCAATATGAGGAAGGAGTACTGGTGTGGCACTGTAGGATAAAGCACTGGACCGCAAAGTTGGCAGTTCAAACGGAAATTCTATGCAGGGTCACTATGAGTCAGAACTGACTCAACTGAACTTAACAACAATATGTGGATTATCAAATTCTGAAGCACTTCAGTTCAAATTAATGAAGAGTCTGCATTTACCAATGGATATTACACTACAGAAAGGTGCAAACATAAATCCTGAAAGAAGCCACTTACCTTTCTCCTCTAAAACCTGAGTCGCACTGGCAAACAGCCCCATCCAAACTGTCAAAACATGTTCCTCCATTTTTACAGGGTTCATCCTTGCAATATGGACTAAGCTGACACCTGAAGAGTGAGGAATTACATGTATAAGCGTAATGCTCCAATTGCAAAGAAATACAGCAAAACAGAAACCACTAACTGGAGATTTTTTTACATGCACAATCGTACATTTAGAAACTTTAAAATACAATTAACTACCAAGGATAAGAAAAAGCACACGTACCTCTGACCAGTATATAATCCTCTGCACTGGCAAACAAAGTCTCCGTTGTCTACAAGACATGTACCACCATAAAGGCAAGGGTTGGAGGAGCACGGATTGACGCTCACTTCACAATATGTCCCTATGAATAAGGCATTGCATTTGCAGTAATAACCTAAATCAGTAAAAAGGAACAGAAAATACCTCTCAGTAACTAAAATGATCAGTCTTACTATATTGGTTGTGCTTTCAAGTATAAGCAGAGGTTTAATTCTCCAGTACAACTACCACTGCCTCCATGCAAAAGGTTGTCTGTATCAAGCTTTCCATAGCCGATACAATTACAACAGTGTACTGCAGAAAAAAAATCACAATTGGCTTTAGTTACCCAGAATTTAAGCAAGATTATTGAATGACATATACAGAGCAGGGGAAAAAAAAGTCCTTTATTTGAGTAACTATGTAGATTGACAACACTTAGAATACGAAAGCAGTGGTTTTACACTGAGCCTCAATTTATTTGCAGCTCATGAGGCTAGTTAAGGACTGAACGAGAAAATGAGTGTGAAAAGCACTCTCAAGACTATAAATTACCATTCAAAGTTAAGAACTAATGATGATCATCAAATTTGGCTAAATGACCACACAACATGTCCAGACCCTACATTGTGAAGACAGTGAAGTTATCATTAGAGGTATTAATGATTACCTTAAGGGAACATGGCATAACTGCACTTCCCTGTCCCTTCCAGGTTGGCCATGATGAGCTTTAGTCAAAGAAATGTTTCCCCTTGGACTAGGGGCTTTCAGCGCCAGCAAACGGCCATGTTCCATGCCTCCTGCTTCCAAGATCATCACAGCACATCTCAATGACAATATCTTTCTCAACTTCATCCTGAAGGTTATCCCACAACACTCTCAAAATGCCAATGACAGAACTTGATGAAGGTTTATGATATTAGAAGGGGTTCAAGATCTTCTGAAATATCATACTCTACATAGTTCCAGCAAAGATTCTAGCCGGCCCTCTGCCCTGAGGCATACGCTAGCAGGTAGAAGCCAAGAACTGAGGGGTTGTACAGTTGTTGCTGTTCGTAAGTGCCATGAAGTCAGTTCTGATTCACAGCGACCCTGTACTGGGTTTCCAAGGAGTGGTTAGTAGATTTGAGCTACCAACCTTGTGGTTAGCAGTAAGCAGTACAGTACTTATCCTACAGTGTCATACCAATTCTGAATTTGTTGTGGCTAGGGCCTATGGTAAAAGTGTGGTGGCTCTGTAGGAGAAGCATCAGACTGTGAACAACAAGGTTGGTGGTTTGAGCCCACCAGCTACTCCGTGAGAGAGAGATGAGGTTTTCTACTCCCAAAAAGATTCCGTGTCAGTCATTATTTGTCAGAACTGACTTGATGGCACCCAACAACAGTGCATGTGGATGCACTCCTGGTGAAATAATAGTTAAGTGCTCAGCTACTAACTGAAAAGTGAGCAGTTTGAACGTACCAGCTGCTCCACTGGAGAAAAACACCTAGCAATCTGATACTGTAAAGATCCTAATAAACCCTGGGAAACTGTCAGGCAGTTCTACACGGTCATACAGGATGACGATGAAGCACAAAACAACAACAGCCGGTAGAGATTCAAGAGAAGTTCAGTTAGCTGCGCTTTGTGTGTGGTTACAGATGCAGACAGATGCAGAATGGAACACATGGAGAAATTACGTTCTGCTCTGGTACCTGAGCAGGCCTGCAGACGCGCTACATCAGAGAAGCTGTTCTCTCCAGCAGAGGTGGCCCACGACTCTAACCTCCTGTAACATATACTACTCAATTTTAACACTGCCGTATCTACCAATGTTTTTTAAACAAAGAAAGGAAAACAAACCAAAACAAAAAATATGTGAGCAAATTCCCCTTAAGTGTGTACAAGTGTGACATTTTAAAAGATACTTTATAACACCTACCTCCAGTAGGTGATGGGTTGCAAATGCCTCCATTCTGGCAAGGATTGCTTGAGCAGTCTTCTGTAGCTGTTAATAAGCATCCAGGAGATACATCCACCGATTCTTCAATGTGTGCATAGCTTCTTGGTTTGTTATGTAAAGGGAGCTCTTGCCCGTTCAAGTAAATGGAGTCCATACAACCCCTGAAGCCATTACCAACTTGAGGACTTCTTCCATGCCTTGTGCCTTGCTGACGGATGTGGCCGCCAAAAAACACATGATTATCCAGGTTGAGGGTTTTCAGAGTCCCTGGGGCTGTACCTGATGCCGTGTGGACTTGGTCTAGAACCAACCTAGCGTAGTTTCCATTCACTTCGAGTAACACTGAATGCCACTGCCCATCGTTGACCTGAATGCTTTGAACAGACACAATTCCAGGTCCACTTCCACAGTCAAATTTGTATTGTAGTCTACCATTATGAATCTATGAAAAAAATAATCACCCTTCACATTACTCTCAGATCACTGAAAGTTCAATCACAGTCTCTAATCAAAAATATACAGGGGAAGGTTTACTTGGTGAATTAAGGTCAAAAAAATAAATTGGCCTCACATTTAAGTTTTCTACAACATACGCTCATTTCGTCCATTTCAAATATAATGAAAGTCTTTATATCAAGTTTAGATACAAATCACACTTCAAAAGCATCAAAGAAATGACTAGTAATTAACTGCTCAATGGTTAAAAAAAAAAAAAAATTAAAAGAGCTTCATGTAATCTCAAAAGACAAACTTTTGAGTTTTAAACATGAATCATGTTTAAAAAAGAAAGCTAGATGAAATAATATGAAACAGCATTTTTGGAACAGTAAGACAAGCACAAGATTGGTGGTTCAAAGCTACCAGTTACTCCTTCTAAACCCCCTATACAGGGTTACTATGAATTGGAACTGACATGATGGCACCTAACAATAGTACATAATCAAAGTCTGAACGTTAGCAATCATGTGAACCTAAAAAGTCATAAGCAAATCTGAGCTATAACAAAAGGAACTTTTCATGCCATCACATATAAAGCATGTATATTGCTGGTGTTGCTAAGTGCTGGTAAATAGGCTGTAACCCATAGCAACCCTGTGTACGGTTTCCGAAGAGCATGCAGACGTTATCAATAAACTAATTAAGGAATTCAATAATTTTTTTTTTTTTTTTACTTCAGACAATCTGAACTTTTTTTTTTTTTTTACCTTTTTTTAAAAATCAAATAAAGTGAACATAAAAATAAAATTTGTCTTTTAAAAGTTTCCCATGATCTGAGGTACAAAATCACATGAGTATATACCTCCAAGATACTATAGTCTGTTCCTCGAGCATACATCACAACAGCATGTGTAGAATATGTTCTGAGCCGCATTGTCAATTTCATCTCTAATTTGTTCTCATTTTCCATTAGCCGGTATTTCACAAAGCTGTTTCCAGTAAATGTTACAGATGAACTCCCTGTAAATCACAAGTAGGAAAAAATAAATCAGAACCAAGTTAAAAGTTAAAAGTGTGATATGTTTTTAAAAGTGTGATTCCCCTCCAGAGACTGATCCAAATTTTTATGGAAGATTGAAACATTCTAAAACTCAATTCCATAGAAAAAGGCCTATTTATTTAATAGTATAATCTAGCTGGCTCGCCATTTGGAAGAGAATAAATTAGCCTACTGAATCACAGAAAAATGAATTCTAAAAATAATGGTTCAAATGTAAACATGTTCAATATAAAATCCTAAAGAACTCTGAAAAATATTTATACACAGCCTCAGGGTAGTTTGAGAAGCCTTCTCAAGCAAGACAGAAAACAACCCCTTCCTGAAAATAAATAACAGTCCCCCAAGATGGAGACTGTTATGTAACTTATACAGAACTCACAAGATTAAAATTAGATTCAAATTGACAAAAGATACTTTAAAACACATCAAAAGATTAAAACAGAGATAGGAGAAGCTATAATGCAAATAATGTTAATACTCATAACATACAAAAAAACTCCACATATTGGTAACAAGAAAAAGACAAGCAAAGAGTATCAATAAGCAAGTCACAGAATAAAAAATGCTAACAGTCAATGAGCAAGTGAAGAGGAAACTTTCACAAGTACCCAGAGAAATACATATTAAAATAATGATTACAAATCATTTTCATGACATTGGGTAAGAGGATTCTTTATTCAATTCAAAACTTTTAATCCTGTCAAGCGAATGGTGATTCAAGCACCTTTATAGATGACTGTAAGAAATCAGATTTGTACAGCTTTTTGGGAAACTACCTTTAATAGTATATTAAAAGAAATTTAAATATAGTTTTTTAACACAGTAAATACTAATCTTAGAATTTACTGTATAGGCACACATGGTCAATTTTAAAAAGAAAAGACTGCCTTTCCACAAGAGATACGCTAATGATAGCACAGTCTTCACTAGATAACACACTGCAACAGTGCAAAAAGTACGAGTTGTTTTCTGTTTTTTTTCTTGACCATAGATATAGAGGTCCATGACATACTGCTCAATGGGGGTACCAGAAGGGGAAGGAAGTGTGAGGAGGAGCAAGAGGTAGACCCACATGAGATGTGATCACATTTTTATTTCAAAAAGGAGAGGAGAAGGAAAATAAACATCTAAATTCCAGACTATATGCTAATATGGTGGTGGTGGTGGTGGTGATTGTGTGCCACTGAGTCAGTTCCGACTCACAGAACCCTGTATAGGGTTTCTGAGGTTGTACATCTTTATAGGAGCAGAAAGCCTCATCTTTCTCCGAACTGGAAGATTCAAACTGCTACCTTGTGGTTAGCAACCCAGCTCATAATCCATCACTACTAGGACTCCTTATGTTTATGAGTCCTGATAAAAGATAAAAAAAAAAAAAAAATGAACACTATACTAATAACTCAAGGGCATGCTATTGTCAAAAAGGAAAGAAAAGCTACTACTGGTGTGTATTTGTAAGACACACTGAAAAAGACATACAAATAACCTGAACACCAATCTTCATTGTAACACTATTCACTATAGCCAAAGATGAGGAATGCAAAACAATGTATGTGTGGTACATACATACAATGGAACTCTAACCCCACTGTCTTCTAGACCATTACGATTCATAACAACACAACAGGACAGAGCAGAACTGCCCCATAGGATTTCCCAGGCTATAAATCCTCACAGAAGCTGACTGCCACACCTTTCTCCTGACAGGACTGGACTCAGATGAAACTGGAACATTATGCGGAGTGAAATAAGTCGATCACAAAAGGACAAATATTCTAGGTGCCTATTATATGAAATATCTAGAATAGGCAAGTGTATAGAGATCAAAGTTTATTACCAAAAGTGGTTATCAGGAGTGGGTGGGAGAAGGAGAAATGGGGGACTCATTGCTTAGAAGACAATAAGCTTTTGTTGGAAGAGTAATGAAAACATCTAGAAACGAATAATGGGTTTGTTGAACAACATGATAAACATAATCAGGTAAATGACATATTTGAAGAATGTTGAAATGGCAATGCTTACTAACTGAACTCTCACCTGGGCACTGACCAAACTTGCCATCAGGACACACACATGTGTATTTTTCCTCTCTGGTATCAGTGATACATTCAGATCCCTCAGGGCATGGCTTGTCATCACATCCATGGTGGATAACTGGGCATTTTCCCTCTTGGTGAAACAAGAAAGAGAGACAGACAATTAATTGGAATTCCAAGAAAATGATCTTTCATTTATAGCCTTCAAAGGACGTATGGGAAGTAAACCTAAAACACCTTGTTTTATATGCTCAGTGTTACCTTTGCAGAGACACACAGCGGTTCTCCGGTGGCGGGGAGTCACAAAACTCAGTCTGGCCGTGCTATGCGTTGACATGACATTTTCATCCACAGACACCTTCTCATCACAGAATTTCCATGGGCAATCTAGTCCTGCACAGAGCTTCTGGAACACATTCAATATTCTAACACCAATGATTTCCTCGATATCAGCCACAGAGGAATTAATCTTATGCAGGAGAATTTTTGTTGAAACCTGAGCACTACCTGATTTCTCTACAAAAAGTAAGACATCTAGGTGTGATTGAGGCTCAGAGGGCTGCAAGCTTACAATCTGTATGTCGTTCCTCCTCACACCCAAGGTGTTCCTTAAAGCTCTCTGGAAGTTGCGCCAGTAGTCACCAACAAATTCTTCTGGAGTAAGATTGGCAAAGCGAATTGCAATGGTGTGGTTCAACATCTCTTGCGTGATTTGCTTGATATGCACCGTGATGTCAGCCATTGTTGTAAATCTTCCATCGGTCACACTGACATTGAGAAGATATTGCCCTATATCTAGTTTTTTGTGTGCGATCAGCTTACCACCTGTGCTGGAAACTGAGAATAAGTTGTCCATTTGGGGATCAAGACTGTAGGTTAAAGTGTCATATACGTCTTGGTCTGTTGCATGGATCTTCCCAATGACACCACCTGAGTATTCCTCTCCAAAAACAGTAATAAAAATTTCTAATGGTAAAATTGCAGGAGGATATATACTCTCCTCAATGACCCTAATGTCAATGTATGTCAAAGATGACAGCTGAGGTTTCCCATTATCTGCCACCTATGAGAAAAGAAAAATACTTACTGTTTACAACTTACAAAAGACATATTTATACTGCTTATATTTTAAAATGTAATCAACTGTCAGATACCTACTTTTCCGCACCAAAAAGTGTATCAAGGAAAAGGAAAAACATTTTATAGCCCTTCCACCAATTCAGACTTAAGTTTGACTCCATCAGTGTCTATGATAAAGCAACCAAATGAATAAATGAGCCCCCTCAAAGTGCAGTGGAATAAAAATGAAGGGATGGTAAAAAAGCAAAAAGAGAACAATTCTACGATTTTCATGAAATACATGCTCTCAAATTCAAGAACACAACCACTAAAAGCAAAGGCAGGGAATGGAATAGAAAATGAAGACTTAAAAAATAGCTATTTTCTCTCCATGACTTCACAATAAAATCATAAAGAAAAGACTTTCATACCTTAACATGCAGTAAGTAATGATCCTTCACTTTCCTCTTTATGGCGACTGCGGTCAGGAGGACTCCTTGCTGGTTAACTTCAAATGCTCGGTCGTCATTTCCACTCACAAGAGTAAAGAAGAAAGGTGGACCATTATGAGAAGAATCCTTGTCTGTTACCATGAGCTGTAGTACACTGAAACCCACAGGTTTGTTCTCCTGCACAGAATTAAACACACACATATACAACTTTCAAAAGAAATGTAATCTATGTAATAGGAGACACACAGGAAATTTTCAGAAATCAATGCTTCAGCATGATATTCCAATTGTGGCAAGGCGAAGGAAAGGTGGTGGCAGTGAGGGGGAACAGGAGAAAAAAGTCAGAAAGGAAACATACGGAAAGAGGGAGGTAGGAAAGAGTGGGCATGAGGAAGAGTAGAGAGAAGACTAGGGTAGGAAGGTACAAAGGAAAGAGGAGGAGACAAAGAGAAAAAAGCAGCAGAGGCAACCGATGATTAAGAAGCAAGTACTCCCCAATCCTAGAATAAGGGTGAATTTATTTTAAAAACCAAAGTATAAAAAGAAGGAAACAGGTCGTATATCTTGAAGTATCAATAGAGATCCTGCGAGCTTTCTTTTTCCATTGTTTTGTTTTTCCTAAAAAGTAGTCTTTGGAAAAGATGGTTCAAACAAATAAACAAAACACAACTGCAGACAAAGAAAGCACTCATTTCAAAAGGAATGGATTCAATGACCCCTCCAGCACTCTGAGATTACCTGGATGATTACACTGTAGTTTCCCTTGGAGAAGACTGGAGGATTGTCATTCACATCAGACACATCAATGTTCACAGTAGTGGTGTTCACTCTGGGCGGGCTGCCATTATCAGAAGCTTGAATGGTGAGCGTATATCCTGAAATCTTTGTGGGTGAAAGACAAAGAGAATACATGTACATTTCCACAAGGTCAAAGAATAGAGTTGAAACCAGAAGAGCACTCTTGATAATCTGGAAGGGCAGATCCAAAAGACTGCGATCATTTACTATATCGTGCACATAGGTAATTCTTTAAGCAATATACAAGTGCACTGCAAATAACTCATCTACAAAATTAAAGGTATTAGCTCAAGAAAAGAAAAAAAAAAAGAAGTTATACTAGCCACTGGGGGCTAGAGCTGAGAGTGAACTGTCCAGCTAATACGTAGATGCACAAGAATATCCCCAAACTTACAGACAAGTACCCATTTGACCTAGCTTGGATGGCTTTATGATCAGAACTGGACTTTGTTTTTGTTGTTGTTGTTGGGTCGGTTCCAACCCATAGTGACACTGTACAGGGTTTCCAAGGAGTGGCTGGTAAGCCTGAACTACCGACCTTAAGGTTCAAACTGACTTTGCAGTCTAGTGTATTAATCCACTGTGCCATAACAGGATGCTAGAACTCGACTAGAGGAAGACAAATAGGATGCAGGAAGCAAGTATAAATGAATACAATCTGATGAACTTGACGTAGTTGCTCAAAATACCAACTGAGAGATTAGTCTTCAATCAAGCCTCATTATACAGGGCTGACAGGGACGGGCAACTTAGACACTGACTATCTAAAATGTGGGCTATAAAGGCACGAAGTGGCTGGCTTACAACTTTTCAAGAGGGAGTTTAGTGTCAGAGCAAGTGGGGAAAGGTAGAATCCCCACTGAATAGTTTTCTTCTTGTCTAGATGGGTCTGGTGAAAGGAGATGGGGATAGGATTCTTTTGATTGAGTAATGAGTAATTGTTATCATGACTAATTGCAAATGTCACAAGTGTAAAGGTACATGTTGCGTGGCAAAAAATGGGGAATAGTTAATCTTACACTCCAGAAACAAAGGACCCTAGAACCAGCAAGAGGGAAGAGCATGAGCGGAACGTGGGATCCTAACCAGAGAAGCAGCGAGATGATGGCATGGAGAGACAGAGCATCTGAGGACTCTAGACTCATAAAAAGAAAAAGACTGTGTGCTGACAGGCAGAGGGCTGGTCTGCAAATGTGCCCTTTAGTTGTTTAAACGATGATATATTCCTGTGTGGTTTTGTGTACATCAAAAAATATATATATGGTAAAAAAAAAGAGTGAATAGAGGTAAATACTGTTAACCAATGGCACATGGAGGGGACTGTAACCATTGCACTAAAACAAGATGCGATTGGTTGCACACAAAACTGATGTTCTGCCACGTAGACCTTATCACTCAATTCACAATTAGAGCTTTACAAAAAAATTAAATAAATAGTTTATAATCGCCAAAGCCTGTAAAATACTCATTTTGCTAAAGTACCCTATCATTAAAATCTTCACTTCTAGTAACAGAAAGAAGAAAAATAACAGAAATCATCATCCAAAATATTTACATATCTCAAGTGCTGCTGCTTTAGTAACAACAGAAAAGGTCCAGGTTTTACTCTCAGCCAAAAATAGACATACAGCTGTTTCTAATACCTAAGTACTTATTTCCAAACACCTTAGGACACTCCAGATCACTCTACCCCATCAGTTTATACTTGGACTAAACTCAACTGCTTATTCCCTCAAAATTACCTCTTCAAAATTTCATACAAAAGAGACAGAGTCAAGTGAGGCAGCTTCTTTTCCAGGCAGCTCCCTGTGATGTCCTCTCTTGCAGAAGGAGTTGTGAAAGAAGACAGAAATCTGGCTAAGTCCCAGAGTATGTTCTATTGAACATTAGTCTTGCAAGACACTCCAAGAAAACAATTCTGAAGGCAGATTAGCTAGTAACACCACAGGCCACTACTGCTCCCTTACAAAACGGTATCTGCATATTAAGGATTCTTGTTGTTCTTAAATCAAAAATTCTAGTTTTGCTTTGCTCAGCAATGCAAGAATCCTTGGCATAACAGTCATACTTCCTATACTCTTTCTTGGACAATCCCTGTTCAAATAAAATCAGTCTAAGAGTAATTAAATAATTGTGTTTAATATAGTACGCTTTATCGCCATCTCCTCAATCTCTTTAATATGGATTTATCTATCATTCTTCTGAATTTACATTCTTTATTACCAGCAATGTCATAATTCTGAAAAACAAGTCTTTCCCTACAAGTCTCCCTACCTCCTGGTGTCTTTGGAGCTTTAAGCATTGGAATACCTCTTCCATCTCTCCAAGGCAGCCCCTGCTCTATTTTCCCTCTTACCTAAAATTGTGAGGGAATGCATGGATGGATGGGTGGGATGCATGGGAAGCTGACAGAATGGCTGGCTGGGAGGATGCCTGAATGAGTGGATGGGTGGGTAGATGCGAGGATAAAAAGATGGGTGGATAGGAAGATGGAGGGATGGAGGGATGGGTCAATGAGTAGATGCTTAATGTGGCTAGTTTCATTTACTCCCATTTACTGCAATCTCTTACAACATTTTTATGATCATCACCAAGAGCAAGTACCATCTTTATATTTCTAGCTCTGAAGTCTCTAAGCTTCAAAATAAAATCTCCAAATGTTGGCTGAACAATGCTACTTAATATGCCACTTTCCTCTGAAGGTCAGCATATCCAAAGCCACATTCTTCAACTTCTCCTTGTATTTATGACTTCCCTATTTCCCTTTAATGGTACTACTCAGTCACAACAACACTGAAGAAAGGAAAAAAAAACCCACCTCTAATTCCACTACTTCCTGTAAGAGCCATATATAAGACCTATGGATTCTTCCTCTGCAAAGTTTCTACATTAGTTCTTTCTCAGTTCTTACTACTACTTTCCCAAATCAGGTTCTTGTTGCCTCATGCTGATGAACAGTCACTGGCCTTCTTAACTAGTCTTATTTTGTAAACAATTAGGCCTACTATGGTCCTTTTGTAATGTTGCATCTCTGCTCACAAATATTTTAGCAACTCCATGGTCAGCTTTTCAAAACTGCCAGCTGTTCTGCAAGAGAAAGATGAGGCTTTCTGCTTCCATAAAGATTTACAGCCTTGGAAACCCTAACCAGCGCCACTATGAGTCAGAACCGACTCCAACCAACCAGTGCCTGCAGCATCAAGTATGAACCTCTAACCCTGGTTTTTAGTGTGGTCTTTTACCTGAAGTTCTGGAGTGATACTGTAGGATAAATACTGGCATGCTAACTGTAAGGTTGGTGGTTCAAACTCACTAGCCATTCCTTAGAAACATACACGGGTCACTAAGAATTAAAACCAACTCATAGTGAGCCTATATAGGGTTTCTGAGGAGCAGCTGGTTGAGTTTGAACCACAGACTTTGTGATTCAAACAGACCTTGCAGTCTAGTGCTTATCTTACAGCGCCACACCAGGATTCCTTACTCATTATATGACCTATCAAATCCCTGCTAGTATCTAAAGCCTAGCTTCTGCCCACATGAATTGCCTCTGAATATGGAGGCAGTAGTAATTTCTTCCTTTATTGAATATGAAACTTATTAACCAAACTTCATATTGTCGTTGTTGCTGTTAAGTGCCGTCAAGTTGTTGCCAACTCAAAATGACCCTGTATAGGGTTTCTGAGGAGCAATTGTTGAGTCTGGAATGCCAACTTTGCAGTTCTGTGCTTATCCTACAGTGCCACACCAGGACTCCAAAACTTCACTTTAGTACAAAATGTACTTCCTATATTCTTGAGATCTTCACTTTTTCCAACTATTTCTATCTCATTTCTCCGTTCCTTAAGAAAACACTGGTTCCATCTTTTGGCATTTCCCATTATGCCACACAGATTCTGTATACAAAGCACTCTTGTTTATGTATTTAGCAATTTATAAGCAATTTAAACCAAACTTTTGCACTTACTGTTTCCCGGTCTAGAAGCTTGGTGACTTTCACTTCACCTTTGACCGGGTCAATTGTAAATGGGCTTCCTTGATTGCCGTCTATAATTGAATAGTGGATGTGACTGTTTAAAGGTCCATCAGCATCATCAGCCATAACCTACAATACATCAAACTCCTGTTTAGGAAACAGCTAAGAAAAGGGTAACCAGAAGCCTATTAAATGAATTTCTGATATTAAAAACCACTTGTTTACAAAGCAACTATTTATAACAGTCAGTAATTAATGGGTCTAACAAGATACTTTCATATCTTTACAATTATTTCCAAGAACACTAGAAAAACAGGTTCAATCTTACGAAAACCTCCTGTGAACAACCAGAAGAAAAAAAATTAAAAAATAAATAGGAACATATATAATAATACCATGATGACAGACTGTTCAAGAAGAGCATCTTCACTGATCACGGCTGTGTAGGTGTCTTGGCTGAACATGGGGGTGTTATCATTGATATCAGTTACATTAATGTTCACAGTTGCAACATCACTTAATGAAGGTGTGCCTCCATCAGTGGCTTCAACAGTCAGGTAATATTCATGAGAGCTTTCATAATCTAGATTCTCAATGATAAATATAGCCCCTGTGTAGAAAAGAAAAATTAATTCCAGTACTAGAAATACTATCATTTTTCCAACTCTCACTAAAACAGTCGACACTTTTTAAGCACATTTAATATTCATTACAAAAGTGTGATTCTTGTATGTGTCCTGACTCCTTGATCCAATAATGAATAATCACAAAGTTGCCCATGCCTGGATTCTTTTTTAAATTACTTTTCTGATATTCTTCGTGACGCTTTAATTTTGTTTCCAATCAATATTATCTTCCACTAGCCATTATCAAAAACTCTGTAAAGGGTTGTTATAAGACTGACTCAACAGGTGCACAACGCAACAATATTCATCAATAGAAACAACTCTCTCTCTTAATCGTCTCAACCACGGCTTACTACAACCTACACTTACTATTTTAAGAAAAAAAGTAAAATCATTTAAAAAAAATTTACTCTGGGGTTTGTGGGGCGGAGCTACCTGGACCAGGCAGCTCAGGTAGGGCTCCGGGGAAAAGGGGCGGAATCGCACATAGAAAACCTCTGTCTAACAGACAGACAGACAGCCTTTGAACAAACATAAGATCTTATATTTCAACATTCTGAACTCATTTTTTAAAAAGATCAAATTGCTGAGGAATTGCAGGCATTTTAAGCTTTTGCCTGTCTGAACGCGGCTCCCACTTCCGCGCCCGCACCAGCGAGTGCCTCTGACCCCTGCAGACCTTGGAATGCAGAGCTAGAGCAACTCCACTTAGAAGGCTGCATTTCCAGAGAAAAGGAAGCATAAACTAACAAAGCTGAACAAATAGAGAGGGATATCGGCATGGATATCAGGAAATTCGGGGTACCCAACAGAGAGACTGACAGAGGCATTTTTTATGTCATCAGATATGGACAATACCTCCCTACATCCACTAATCCCAGCCCTCTACTGCCCCGGCCTAGACCAGCACTCTGCCTAGCCGCCAAGGCTCAGGAACGCCCAAGGCACAGGCCCGCCCACTGAGGCCAAGGCCCTCCCAAGGCCCAGACACTCCCACTGAGGCCAAGGCCTGCCCTGAGGTCCAACCCGTCCACAGACTGGTCACAAAGGCCCAGGCCTAACCAAAGCCAAAATCGCCTACCCATGACCACCGCGTAGCCAGGTCGCTGAGGCCCTGGGCCCCAGAGGCCCAATCCACCGCGTAGCCTGGTCGCCAAGGCCCAGTGCCCCTGAGACCCAACCCGCCCTCAGCCGGGTCCCTGAGGCACAGGCCCCCCCAAGGCCCAATCCGCCCACCCCACACGCTGATGCCCAAGCCGCCCGATGCCCAGCTGCTGATGCAGGAGGCCCAAACCGCCTGCCCGAGGCCCAAACCACCTGCCCGAGGCCCAACCCTCCTGCAGTCCGGTCACTGATGCCAAGGCCCCCAGAGGCCCAAACCGCCCGCTCTAGGCTCAACCCACCAGCCCGAGGCCCAAACAGCCCGCCGCCAAGGCCCAGGCCCAACTGAGGCCCAAAAAAAGTTACTCTGAGTCAAGCAGTAAGGAGTGTGAAAAGGAAGACCACAACCTGATCACAACTTCCTGGAGGTAATCAGAAAACATAAAAAATTACCAAAACATATAATTAATTAATTACTAGGGCCACAGATAAACATTAAACATGTCCAAGAAGTAAAAGCAAATGACCATATTGGCACATGTCCAGAAAAAAAGATAAAATAGCTGAGACAAATGAACCAGAAGTAGACCTTCTCTCCATGCTGGAAGGAGGGCAGGCCTTGGAGATACCTGAGAAAGAATTCAGAAAAATGATTATAAAATGTCTGA